TATATATTTGAAAATAATAATATTTATATTATTATGTTTACAAGAGCATTGTTGTAGTGAAAATCAATTACATTTTAATAATGTAATTATTAATTATTATATTTAATTATTAATAATGTAATTAAATAAACATTTGCATACATAATATGTATATAATACCCATTTGCAAGTAGTAAAATGAGTAACATTTTTTAGTTTAATGATCATTTTTATTGTGACATGGAACTGTTTTCATAGGGACTGTTGATGTATGGAGTAAACTTCCAAAAATGCAAAAAAAAAAAAAATAATAATAAAAAAAAGTAGCCTATAAGACTTATATTTTAAGTTTTTTTTAAAGCCATTCCATGAAACAGATTGACAATAATGTCATTATTCGAAGCAAATATAACAGCATTTGGGTTCGCAACAATATGAGTGGAAGTAAATAATGACAGAATGCTAATTTTTTGGAATGTGTTAAAGCAATAGTTTCTGTCATTCTGTCATTGTTTGCCCCTGTAATTATGATTAAACTATTGCTTTAAGAGGACTGACTGTATTTGTGGGACATTTTCAGAATTTTAGAAGCATACACACAAATCTTATTTAGACAAAAGTGCTGGTGCATTTATAGTTATGTGTATTATTTGCAGAACGAGGTTCTGCGGTCCAGACTGTTCCGTCACCCAAACCTGCTGATGTCCAGACTGGTGTTCAGCTCGTGCTGTCAGCTCTGGGTGCTGTCTCCTCTCATGAGTTACGGTAAGAGTCACCTGGAATTCACAGAACATCCTCTTTCATACTTTATTTATGAATTTTAACTTCCTTTATTTCAGTGAGTTGTCAACATTTCTCATTTACGTTTAACAATTCTTGTCAAACGCTTACCAATTTTTATTTTATTTTATTTTTCAACTTTAACTTGATGTACTAACTTATCTTGAAACTAACATTCAGGTTCTGCAGACTCTCTGCTCAGGTCGTATTTTCCGGACGGAATGAGCGAGTCTCTGATAGCGTACCTGCTGTACGGGGTGCTCCGAGCGCTGGAGTACCTGCATCACATGGGTTACGTGCACAGGTGAGCACACGATGACTGTTTCACAGAGACGAGAAACCCGACTGAATCTGGTCTCCTCACCTGGTGTGTCCTGCAGGGGTGTGAAGGCGAGTCATGTGCTGCTGTCAGCTGAAGGCCGTGTGTGTTTGTCGGGGCTGCAGAGTGTGTACAGTCTGATGAAGGATGGCAAGAGGATGAGAGCCGTGTTTGACATGCCTCAACACAGTCCGTCTCTGCTGCCCTGGCTGAGTCCGGAGCTGCTGCGACAGGTGACGTTCACACACCGTCCACACATGACAGCTGTTCCCAACAGTAGCGTTATAGACTGTTTATAACAAAAAACTATGTATAAACAGCAAGACAAATTTTAAAAATTATTTCAAAATTATTACAAATAATAAAAAAAAAAACTTAGATTAGATTGTGGCACAGGTTTTCTAAATGTGAAAAATGAGCACGTACAATTAAACATCCAAAACTATCTCATATACACACTACCATTCTTTTTTTTTTTTTTTTTTAAGAAATTAATACTTTGTTTAGCAAGGACACATTAAATTGACCAAAACCGACATTATTTATTAATGTGACAAAAGATTTCTGGAGTAATTATGTTGAAAATGCCATCTCAGGAATAAATTGCATTTTAAAATATATATTGAAATAGAAAACAGTTTTAAATTGTAATAATATTTTACAATATTACTTTTTTTGCTGTATTTTTGATAAAAATGCAGATAAATGAAAAAAAAAACATAAATCTTACACACCGCAAACTTTTAAACTAACTTACATACTTTATTTATGAATTTTAACTTCCTTTATTTCAGTGAGTTGTCAACATTTCTCATTTACGTTTAACAATTCTTATCAAACGCTTACCAATTTTTATTTTATTTTATTTTATTTTTCAACTTTAACTTGATGTACTAAATTATCTTGAAACTAAAACTGAAATAAATTAATAAATAATAATAAAACCTATATAGACATTAAAAAAACTACATTTACAAAAATGCACTACAAATTAAAATGAAAACAGAATATATATATATATATATATGTGTGTGTGTGTGTGTGTGTGTGTGTATATATAATACATTTTCAATTAACCTTTTTATATACTTATATACATATACATTATATATATATATATACTGTATATAATGTATATATGTATATAAAAAGGTTAATTGAAAATGTATAATAATATCTTAATACTAAAATAACACTGAGAAGAATAAATAAAAAAAAATCACTAATATTGGCTGATAACTGATATATTACTAATATATTGTACATTCTTATTTATAAAGCCTGGTCAATGTAAACACCAACATCAGTTCTAAACATTGAGCTTCATGAGAATTTATGCTGGGTTTTTTTGTGTCTCTCTTTCTGTGATGAAGGATCTTCACGGCTATGGAGTGAAGTCAGACATCTACAGTCTGGGAATCGTGGTGTGTGAGCTGGTCAGTGGCAGAGTGCCATTCCAGGACATGCCGCCCACTCTGGTACTGCAGTTCTTCACCTGTGCATCTACTTCACCTGCGAGCATGAGACCCTGATTACTGAACACTCACTTCCTGTTTCTTCTTCTTGAGATGCTGCTTCAGAAGCTGCGGGGTTCTCACTGTTGTCTCCTCGACGTCCCTCCTTACCCGCTCGGAGACATGGGTGCGCTCAAGGTGTCCCGCTCTGGTGTGGATTCGGGGATCGGCGAGAGTGTTGTGACCGGAAGTCTGACCCGTACTGCCACAGCGGAGAGACCTCAAAGCCCCGCCCCCAAAAACCACTCGGCCACACTGCACAACCTGGTCCAACTGTGCCTGCATCAGCAGCCTGAGCGCAGGTACACACACAGAGACCCTTAGCAAATGTTACAGCTCAGAATTAACAATTAACAATCTTTGGGATGGCACAATAAAGCGACGTTTACTTGCAGAACGCAAGCTTCTAGAGGGCACATAAGTCTGAAGTAATTCATTTAGGTAAAGGGGTGCAGAGCCAGTGGTGGTTTTGTCGGCAAACATTAATGCCTTGAATTTTATGCGAGCAGCTATTGGTAGCCAGTGCAAATTGATAAACAGAGGTGTGACGTGCATTCTTTTCGGCTCATTAAAA